CTCTCTTTCGTCTCTAGAAATTGACTTTGGTAGTTTGCCGTTGAGTTCTTCGCCACTGTTAAGTAATTAAATATTTCCATTCTTTCTCCTATAGATGTCTTAGAGTGAGTTACTGAGACCGTAAGCGCCAGTTCATGAGAAAGGGGTGGCCTATCTGGGGAACTTGTCACTATTCTCTTCTGTGAGCCCGTTGGTGGCCGTCGTTTGCTTGCTGTTGATCTGTTCGGTTACCTCCTAGCACGTGCACCGTAGAGAAAGCAGCCTACAATTTCAAGCGACTATAAGTAATGACATGTTTTCATTCTGTTTCCTACGAACGACTCAAGAGTGGGTTGCTGAGGATCTTAAGTGCCAATCAATGAGAAAGGAGTGGTCTCTCTCTGGGGAACTTGTGGCTATTCTCTTCTATGAGTTTCGGCCCTCCTACTGCATAGCAAAAAAAAAAAAAAAAAGTGTTTGTCTCTTCTCGCGTGGGCGAGCGAAGCTAGCCTGCTCCTGTTGGGGCGTGGGTGCGAGAGGATGCAAAGAACACCGAGGCACCTGTTGGTATCAGTCAGAGATGGGGAAATCACCCATTTGGCCCCCTTGTATATCGAAAAGTTTCGCTGGCAGCAGAAGAAAGAAAAACAGAAGGGAAAAAGAGAGAAGGTGGACCCGTGTCTCTTCTCGCGTGGGCGAGCGAAGCTAGCCTGCTCCTGTTGGGGCGTGGGTGCGAGAGGATGCAAAGAACACCGAGGCACCTGTTGGTATCAGTCAGAGATGGGGAAATCACCCATTTGGCCCCCTTGTATATCGAAAAGTTTCGCTGGCAGCAGAAGAAAGAAAAACAGAAGGGAAAAAGAGAGAAGGTGGACCCGGAAAACTTAACGGCTTAAAGGTGTTGTGTTAAATTTAATTTCGCCAACATCTCCATGCCCGTTTGACATGAGAGGTTGGCCCCACCTGAAACACGCCCTGGGTCATGTCTTTGTAGGATTGCTTTCCTTATTCCCGTCTCCGGGAGAGTCATGCCCAGTGTCATTCCGGCACTTAACGGCAACAACATCTGGGCTGTTTCACATCTGTTCGCCTGCGCGCTCGCTTTGGCCCCAGTCCTGAAAGATAGCCGCGTTTCGCTTATTTATTCCAAAATTTCAAACACTCCCCGACCCCGAGGGCTGGGCGGAAGACGTTGCCGATAAAACATGCATGACAAAACGCACAAAGAAAAGAGAAAAACAGAACAGAAGTCAAACTTCGGCTTCCAGTGGCTGTCCCCTTGCAGAAAAACGGATCAATATTTTTTTCTTAGAATATTGTCTACTTAAAGGAATGATCCGCAGTCACCTCTATGTGTGAGAGGATCAACAGGTGAAGACACCCATTTTTCTGTAATAGGTCTACGCTCTTGGGACTTGAACCCTCTAATTTGGCTGAAATGTTTGATAATTAATTTTGTTGGCTTGTCTGACGGACCATCAACAGGCCCAAAGTCGACGACGAGCGTGCCACTGAAATGATCCCACAATTTTATAAAGTAATAATAATGACAGTAACAATAATTAGCTTTCAACTGCAAGGAACCCTCTGGATCATTGAATCTGGCCCGTGTCAAGAAGGCCCCGTGGGGGGAATCGAACTCCCAACCTCTGGTTCCACAGCCAGAGACCTCAACCGCTCAGCTATCCAGCAGTTGACAGCTTAAGGCCAGGAAAATAACTGTGTTCAATCCTGCAGGGGCCACCACAAAGAAGGCCCAGTTTTCAGGATTGAATGAGATGCTCCCGTTAGCATTTTGCCACAGTGATAACAACTTTTTTCTTCCTCTCTTACGAATTTGCTGTTGATAACACCAAGGTCGTTCAGCCAATATGCTACCAAAGACTAATTACAAGAGGAAACCCATTTAGTCTTGTTCGCGTCTGATGATCTTCTCATCCCCAGTATTCTGAAGGTGAGATTCCTTTGGTTTGTGTCTAATTTTCAAGATTTTCCGAGATTCAAGAAGATTTTCAACTTCTTCATGTATACGTCTGATTTCTCAGACACAAAAATCTCTAGGCTTTCCATGTCTCCGGAATGATAGCGTGATTTCAGCTCTAATTACAGGTTATATGTAATGTATAATTTGACCCAGACTTTCTTAAAAAAAAATCTTTGCATAAACCCAGAATACTCCAATGCAAATTCTGACTCCAAACCATCTCCGGAGCTAAATCTTTCCTGCAATTAAACATGTCTTTGAGAAACTTTTGCCAGGTTTTAACGGCTCAGCAATTAAAAAAAAAATCAGTGCAGCTATTTTGCCAAACAGACTGGTGAATCAGATTCCCCCTCTCCTAAGTTTTCATGACTCATTTGTTTGATAATTATTATAGTTAATTTCAAAAGACATATAGCCTCCTGCAGGATATGCGGCTTTGCCTGACGAGACACATACCTTTTGTATGTGGTTTTTTAAAAAACGACATACCATTAAATAGTTGTGCATATGATGTGCTATTTTTAGGGAAAGGTTATTAATAAACTACTGCTGACAGTGCAGAAAAAAAAACGCCACATGGCAACGAAGATAATAACATAAAATAAGATATGAGTCACCCCACACGGCTTTCTCAATCCACCTGCCGTGGGCCCATAGATTCTCGCATTCAGGTGTGCACAAGAAAAAGTTATTTTTAAACTCAAGACCCTGTAGGACAAATCCAATAATATCTTTGCTATTTTGGATGGTGCTTGAAACTTAGAAGAGATTCGTCAATGTGTCATCTTTCAAAAATACCTGGAGAAGCTATGGCAAAGGTAAGCTTCTAGATGAATTCGGACTACAATGCCCATGATTCTTTACCATTGCTTAGGCTGGCTACCGGTGATGGGAGTCGTAGTCCACCTAGCAGAGGACAACAGCTGCCCATTCATGGGCGAGGGATAGCGTTGGCGCTGGTGGGAGGCAGAACTGGAGGAATTACTTTTAAAAGAAGAGGGGCTGAAATCCTGTTACTCTAAGTGACTCCACGTAAGGCTGATGATGTCATTGGCCATGGGGATTTTTTAAAAATAAAACATTCACCCCCGGGGATTAAAGACCTCCCATGCCATCTTGTACCCCCCGAGCAGCTTCCCGATGGTGAAAGGCTTTCCTGCATACCCTTCAGGGTTGAAATCAGAAAAGTTATTTTTAAGTAAAAGACACCCCCTCAACGGATAACATCGTCAGCTTTACGAGCTGTAACTTATGCAACAGGATTTCCGCTAAGGTAATAACTAGTTACTTACTGCTTTATGGAAATAACTCATTAACTTTCCTCACTCTCTGCTACTTGAGGAGAAAGCGGTTTCATCGTTCATTAGTAACATGTTTTTATTAATCAATTTTTTTAAAAAAATACACGCTGTAGTAATACAAAAAGCTACCCAAAACCTCCAAAATGAACTCTGAAAAAAAAAAAACCAGAAGTATTCAAGTAAACCTTATAGCCCACACCTTGTACATTTTCACTTTATAGGTTACTTTCAGTTCCACCAGAAAACCTTTTAAAATATACTCTTCTCGTGAATTCACTTCATTGTTTTAATTTTGGGGGAAAATTCGCAACAGTTAGCTTGATTTGTGCCAAAGGCCAGCAGCTCCATATTCATGCCTGTGTGTGTTTAAACAATCTATCCAAAGTGTTATAAGTCTCTTGTCCCTCCAAAGAAAGTTCAGCACGTTGACTAGTTTGGATTAAAAATCCGAGCGGATGTGGAGTCGCTGGCCTCCCCTGGCTTCCTCAAACTCCTTCATCAAGTTTTGTTTTAATATGATGAAACAGACCTTTCCCCCACCAAAATATGGTATTGCTTTAAAAAAATTAACATAGTTTTTTAAATCCATAAATAAATAGGCCAAGCTAATTAGGGGCCAGGGAGAGCGATCTGTTGCAGCTTTTATTTTAGCAGAGGCCAAAACTCAACAAACGTCCCCTGAGACTGAATTCATTGTTTTTGAGAAAACAGATTGAGTGTGTGTTTGAGCAATGTTCAAAAAGCAAAAGTTCGCAAACTTTTCCGACCAGACCTTTTGTTAAGAACCATATGGAATAATTCCTCTTTCTCCATTTAACAATGATTTATCTCTTCGGCACCTACGAGGCCGACCGGACAACGTAGCCCTGTCTATGCGTGGAAGAGCGGTTTCGGTGGTGCGCGGGTGATTAAAAAGAAATCTCATTTCGGTTCATTTTAAAAGAATGTACATAATCAATTGCTCGCTTCTTCTGGAGGTCTGGACACTTCAGAGGCAGGAGAGAGCAAAAAAATAAAAATAAAAAAATAAATTTAAAAAAAGACAGTCTGCCCATTCTTGAAGAATCATAAAACGGCAGAGCTGGAAGGACCCCAAAGGTCATAAAATCTGACCCCTGGCCAAGGCAAAAAGTGTGTGGGGCTCAATTTGACAGTATGTTCATTGCACTGCTCTTATCCTTATTTATTGGGGTAGACATTAGATCATTAATTAAGCCAATAGGTTCTTCATATCAAAAAGGAAGTCAAAGAAATAGTCTAGATATTTTCTCCCCTCTGTCTCTTATAGGAAGTTAGCTGGCTCGGTGGCTTAGGTCTCTGGCTGTGGAGTCAGAGGTTGGCAGTTCGATTCCCACACTTGGCCTCCTGGGAAAAGAGCCAGCCTAGGTAGCCTTGGGTAAGCTGCACTGTCCCAGAAGAAGGGCTATGCATCAACCTGGAAAACCCTGGAAAACATCATCAGAAGTCAGAGCTGGCTGGATAGTTCAGTGGTTTAGAGATTGGGAGTTCGATCCCCCCACGGTGCCTTCCTGGAAGAAGAGCCAGCCTGGGTAGCCTTGGGCAAGCTGCACTGTCCCAGAAGAAGGGCTATGCATCAACCTGAAAAACATCACCTTAAATCAGAGCTGGCTAGATAGTTCTGTGGTTTAGAGACTGGGAGTTTGATCCCCCCACGGTGCCTTCCTGGAAAAAGAGCCAGCCTGGGTAGCCTTGGGCAAGCTGCACCATTCCAAGGTTGCCCCCTAGAGGAAGGAGAGGGAAATACACCTCTTGAGTCTTGTCTATAAGTCAGAATTGACTTGATAGCACACGAAGATGATGGTTATAGGAGATTAACCGTGGCCACCACCTGCTTACAACCAGTTACGGCAAACTGCTGGTCCCCTTTGGCGTAATAGCTAAGCTGCCCAGCCAAGCGGTCGATGTGGCTGGGGTCAGGATAGATCCCTTCGCTCATCATCTCCTCGTAGAAGCAGCTTACGACGTGGCTCTTCTCCAGAAGCTGGAACGGTACAATCTCTGCCAGGGTCCAAAGCGGGTGGACTTGGTGGAGGACCGGACGGAGAACCCCCTGCAACTCTTCCAGTTTCCTCTGGGGTTGCAAGCGGTCAACGGAGACGTTCTGGAGGAGAAGGTCGGTGACCTCCTTGCCCCCAAAGTTGCTGATGAGGACGTAGACCGCGTTGAGGAATTCGTTGGTTTGGTTGGTCCAGAAAAAGCCGCCCAGCGTCTCCAGCAACGGCGTGGGCATGAATTCCATCTCGTCCAGGATGAAGAGCGGGATCTTCTCTTCCGTTTCGGCTCGGGTGACCATCTCGCCGATGGTGGCCGATAACTCTGACTGGCAGGAGGCCGGGGAGGCATCCCCCGGACAGTGATGGAGGGAGAAATAATGGAGGACCGACTCAGGGCCCATGACGGAGCGGAAGTGCTTGGCCAGCAGCCGGCCCACGTGGCTTTTCCCGACCCCGCTGGGACCGTTGAAGGAGACCACCAAAGGTTTATTGTGGATGTGGGTGGCCAGGTAGTCCTTCAAGAGGCCCATCAGGCTCTCCACGGCCAGCGTCTGCCCAAAGACCTCCCGGTTCATGGTCTTTTCCAGCCCGTCCAGGTCGTATCGCAAGAGATTGTCGTCCAAGTTCTCGATGGCGTTGAGGATTTGGAAGCAAACGATGGCGACGAGCAGGAGGAGACACCGCTTAGCTTTGCTCTTGTCCTCGGCGGGCAAGTACTTACGGGAATTGACCGGGTACAACACGCGGAAGTTCTTCGACCTCTTCTTCTTCTTCGAGCTCCTCGGGACCGGGGGCTGCACGTAGGGGTCGAAGGTGAAATATTGGGAGCTCTCGAAGCCGCTTTGGGCCAAACGGGAGGCGGCGGCCGCCGCTTTCGCTTTGCCCAAGGAGAACTGGCGCTGGAAGAGTTTCGCCTGCGGATCGCCCGGCAGGAAGGTTTTTTTGAGGACGCTGGCCGTCCTCCGCAGGCGGATGACGGCCCGGACGGGAGAAGACAGGAGAGAAAGCTTCTGCGGGCTTTTCAAGCCAGGCTTCCGGCCGGGGTCCATCGCCGGCTCTTCCTGCGCACCTCGCCCGTTGGTCTCCTCTGCGGGAATAAAGAGAAGAGTGAGGAAAGCAAGGAAGGCAGTGTGGCGCAATGATCAGAGTTTTTAATCACCCAATCTCCTGAATAGGACAAAAAGCTCATCCCACGTCTATCCCACACACTGCACCAGAACACAGACAGAGTTCTGACTCTTGTCCTCTTCAGAGGATGTGGACGACATTCAACCAGAGGTTTTAATCTTAGAACGGACCGCAAGGGACTCTGTGAATCAAACTCCCAACATCTGGCTCTACAGCCAGATGTGCAAGCCACAGAGCTATCCAGCTCTTAAGGAATGATACATGTATTACTCATGCTTTTAATTCTGTTCTCCTTCATATTGTGAGCGGCCTTCGGTCACCTTATTGGGAGAAAGTTGACCTATGAATGAAACAAGCAAGCAAGCAAAGAAATAAAAATTAAATGTATAAAGTCATCTTCCAAGCTGTGATTCTAACCTGATAAGATATATATGGGTGATGAATATCTCTGTTATCCAGATAGGATTCAGCTGCTTAGGCTGCAGCGCCACCTCGAGGCCAATGCCTGTCAAGGCATCTCTTCAAGTTGGAATTAATTGCTGGATTAATGCATGAACTGTATGATAAATTTTAATAGCTGTGAAATATCCCGAAGGCTAAACAGATTGGGAAAAATGTCAAAAAGTTGTCAAATGCAAAATGTTAAAAGATAAGTGGTTTTTTGGGGGGAGTGTTAACGAAACTTAAAATAGCACAGGCTGGCTCAGTTCTCGGGCTGCAGATCCAGAGATTGGGAATTCGAATCCCCCACTTGGGAAAAGAGCCAGCCTGGGTAGCCTTGGGCCAGCTGCACCGTCCCAAGGTTGCCCCCTAGAGGAATGGACGGGTAAAGCACTTCTGAGTCTTCTCTACCTGGAAATCCTGAAAAGGGTCGCCATAAATCGGAATTAGCTGGCCGAATAGCTTAGCGGTTTACGTATCTTGCTGCAGAGCCAGAAGTTAGGAGTTCGATTCCTCCACTGGGCCTCCAGGGAGAAAAGCCAGCCTGGGTAACCTTGGGCCAGCTGTACCATCCCAAGGTGGCCCCCTAGAGGAAGGGAAGGGTAATACGCCTCTGAGTCTTCTCCACCTGAAAAATCTTGCAAAGGGTTGCCATACGTCAGAACATATTTGATGCCACGTGATTATTATTTAACGGTGCAAATGTGACCTATTTAAGAGACGAATTGGATTTTTTTGTGTGTGTGTGTTAGAATAAGAGAAGCTGGAAGCTGGTTGGAGGCCACAAAAAACGTGATTGAGCGTGCCCTGTGCCCACAGTTGAGTTAACAGGAGGCGAGAGCGCCGGTGGCTCTGACAGCATGAATGGAACCCAGTCCGGGTTGTAGTCCGAACATTACGGGAGCTCTCCAGCATGCTGAACCCTGTCTCAGAATGCAGCAACGAACGTGTGCTTTCGTCCCGCGGTCGTGCCATGTCGGTCACTGTGGGAGACCGGAAACTGGGTGTTTACTCAGCCCGTACAAAGTTTTTCCCCCTGTCTGGATCCATTCTATTTACTCTTTCCCTCCAGCCAGCTTCCTGCTGTATATTCTAGATCAGAGGAGCGGTAAAGGGTTCTGCTCTTTTCCCAGCAATTTTTTGATTCCCGAGGAAACCAGCGGAAGGCCTCTGCTTTATGAAATCAAACTACGAGCTAGTTTTAAAACACAAAACACAATAGCTTGTGATATGGCCTTTGCATTTGGAGAGGGGGCCCGAAAGGAAGATTGACTTATTCATTTTTTCCATCGGCCTTTCTCCTTAAAAAGGACTCGAGGTGGCCATCTATCTTTCTCCTTAAAAGGGACTCGTTTAAAGGCAATATGTAAAGCTTTAAAAAAAGTATAAAAAATACTGAAAAGGATCAAACAAAAGGCGATATACGAAGCAACATGAAAACCAAAAAGGTACAATCCGGTTAAAGACCCCCACTCAGGCGCTCTTGCTATTGGCTGTCACAGTTCAGGGCAAGGTATAGGAAATTCCTTCTATATTTGACACATAACTCTATTTAGTCAGTGGAACTGCCTGCCACAAGGTGCCGCCGGTCACTAATCTTCGGAAATTCAAACCAGAGGTCTGAGAAGAGGCAGCTGTGTTCGTCTGCGCTCGCATATCAGGCAAGAAACAAAAGAATAATAAGGAAATCTGAAGAAGTAAGCAGTATTAAAAAGGCGTGTCTGAGGAAGTCCACGAAAGCACACGTTAAAAGTTATTGCAGTTAGTCTTCAAGGTGCATGACATTTTCGTCTTCTTTACGTTTTATTTTGCTTTTTGTCCGAGAAACCAGAGATCGCGATGGTCGTTTTATAAAGCGGTGGTATCCAGTTCCAACTCCTGATCCGAAAGCATGTAACTGGAATTCCAGCAATTTTAATGTAGCCTCCAGAAAGAACTCAACGTTGACTTAATTGTCAAAAAATGTCGGAAAGCTAAAGGCCAAAATGGTCAGTGGGATTAAACGGCTGAAGCAGGGAAGTCGCGGCCTCTGTAACTATAAGAGTAACTAATGTTATTCTTTGTAATGCATAACTTTTAATTTTTATGCTATAATTACTGGGGGAGAGGTGGGACTAATTATAAGTAACTTGTTATTTGATAGTGGTTGTAGGTTTTTCGGGCTGTCTGGCCGTGTCCTTAAGGTTTTTCTTCCTAACGTTTCGCCAGTCTCTGTGGCCGGCCTCTTCAGAGGACAAGAGTCAGAACTCTGTCTGTGTTCTGTGTGTGGGATATAGTAGTTGAGTATTTATAGATGTGGGACCAGCTTTTTGTCCTTTTCAGGAGATGGGGTGATTAAAAAGCCTTTGAGAATACAACTGATTATTTGTAGTGAAATACTTCTAAACTTATGGGATGTGGTGGTGCTGCGGGTTAAACCACAGAAGTCTCTGTGCTGCAAGGTCAGGAGACCAGCAGTCGTGAGATCGGATCCATGCGACGGAGGGAGCTCCCGCCAACCTAGCGGTTCGAAAGCATGCAAAATGAAAAATGCGAGTCATATTTTCTAATCTCTTTGTCTTGGCCGTAGGTGAGTTTCTCTGAAGCACCCGACCCCACTGTATGGCAACAAATTTCGCTCCCGGGAGCAAATTTTGCTCCCAGGAGGTTCCCCGTCGCATCCCTGCATGAGTGCCCGTTCTGAGCTTATTTCTGTCCATCAAGGAACGAATGAGCAACACAGAAGCTCGGCTGCTCAGGCAGGGGACACAGCAGGGATGTTGTGGGATTTTAGGGCTTCATTTTTCGCTCTTCCTCGGAGCAGTTGGGGCGGGAAGGTGAGCCTCTCTTAGGCAAATGGAAGGATCCAGGGGGCTTTGCATATACTGGTCCTCCGTCGGGCCCTATAGCGGGGTTGGAATGCCCAGCCAGGTTATTTATTAACGCTGAGGTTTGGATCTGGGGCTCAACGTCGCAGGCTGAACCGGCCGGGTCTCATTCCTTATCAGAAACCCTCGGACGTTGCAGAGAATGACGCCTGCAAGGCCAGAAGGGGAGGACAGGGGAGAAGATACCATCAGGCTTCTGTATGAGAAAAAATAATAATAAATGCAAATTTCCCCCTTAGTTAGGATACCGACCTTTGAAATCACCAGGCGTCTCGTGGCCACAGATTTCCTTTCTAACAAGCTTCTTATTTCATCAGGGGGTCAACTTTTAGGGGAACGCAGCCGCTTAAGCCTGCTTTAAGCCAGACTCTTCTGGGTCTTAAAGGTTAAAAAGTTTTTAATTTGACCTAAGCGGCTGCTGGCCCACGCTCCTTTCCTTCAGATCCTCCCTCGCCCGCACCTGAAATTTCTGCCGAGTTGAGTTGACGCCTCATTTTCGACTGCCCCCCACTTTCAACGGGCTGGGATTCGAGGCTTCGCGTTGCAAATACGATTTTTTCTTCTTCTTTGCTTTCCTGCGCTCGGATCTATAGTTTAGTTCTTCTCCGCTACAAGGTCACCTTGAAATTGCAGTCGATGTCCTGCGGATCATCTTAGAACTGCAGTGTCGGGAGGGGGGACCCTCGAGACCATCCAGTCCATCCCCTGGCAAGGTGGCCCCAGTGTGGGAATCGAACTCCCAACCTGGTTTACTCCCTCCAAAATCACAGTCTGAGCCTTGGGGGAGCGCTCCTGGATCTTTTTATGACAAGATCCCAACTTTTTTTAAGGATGTGGATCCTTCTGATTTTTGCATCATCATCATTACTACTACTACTAAATCATCATCATCATCATCATCATCATCATCATCACTACTAATACAACGATTGTCATTATTGTCAGAAAGAAGGAGAATGCTTTCTTGGCAGGGGGCTGAAGCGATGAGGAAAGCTTCAGCCGCTTTATCCTTTTTCTGGTTAAGGGCAGAGGCGCAGGACTGGTTTAAAAAGTTGGCAACCCCTTTAAATGCTTCCCTAACCCAAGACGCAGGGGGGCGCAGAAGGGTAACAAACAAGCCCAAAATGAGCCGGTCAACGAGACATGGCCTAGTTTAACTTAGCACCACGTGCTGCCACAGAATTTCAAAGACCTGGTTTCGATACAGCACATGTATTTCTGCCTAAGGGAGGAAGTGGATTTTGTTGCTGCTGTTTTGATTTTTATTATTATTATTACTTAGAAGCCATAATTTTGCACACCGCCTCATGCCCAGAATGTAAACGCACACCCTAAATTCTAGGCCTAGAACATAAATAGTTTGCAGAAGGCCAAGATCGGATACATTTTTCACTAAGTTGCAAAGTTCGCCCGTTTCCCAAAAGGATCTATGCGTCCATAGAGGTTGTCATCTAAAGCTTTGATACTCCCTCTTGTTGTCTGTGCGCGTGTACAATTCACAACCCGTTGCTTTCTCTGTTTGCACCCTGCCGAAAAAAAAGCCGCAGGCTCTTGTTTCCCGGCATTTAAGCCAAGAGTCAGGAGGTTTGCCAGGAGGAGGGGGGAATAAAAGTTGAGGAAATCAGCAGTTCTAAAGTTGCCAACTTTTAAATACACCCATGCTCCTCTGCCTTTACAGCTGCCGCTCAGTCGGAAAGGACTAGCAGGTGGATTTTTCCTTGCTGACATTTCCTCCCTAGGGTCCCTGAGTCTTTTACCAGCGCGCAAAGCGGGCTGGATCCATTCTCCATCATCAAAGGAAAAACTGTCCGGATATTTGCACATGTCTCAGCTGTTCCAAAGGCTACCAACCTTTCTGTACGGCTGCCAAGTGTGTTTGGTTTTGTTTTGCTCCTGTGGGCTTTCTGTGGTGCCCTTCGGTCTTTTGATCGCTCTGGCACGACCGCCCGTCATCCCTTCACGGAATGGAAAAAGCCGCGGCTGATTTCTCTGGGTCAAAATCGGCCGGCGGCCCATTTGTGATCCATCCGCGTGTTTAGAACCCAACTCTTAAAAAAAAAAAAGAAAACGCAGGGGGGGCTTTGACCTATCTATTGCAAACCACCGTCCCCACCACCCCCTCGACCGACGCAGAGAGACAGAACATTTACCGGGTCTCGCAAATGTCACCAGCCGGGTTTTCTCCTCCCTATTCCGAAGACCCTAAGAGCCGGTTCCATTGGGAAGCTGAAATGCTGCGGTTTAGGCTCGCTGGCAACCGACAGATCCACATCTGGAGCTGAGAAGCCCAGCTTCCCCGGGGAAAAGGCACTGCGGCCTGCCTCTGGGAGTGTGTGAAAAAGAAAGACACACACACACACACTCCAGAAAGCTAGGAGAGGGGTGCGGGGCCTCCTCCCTCTGGCGCTTCCTCCTTGCTCATCCAGAAAAGGCCTTATCTCTATCGCACTGCACACAGCTGTGTTTAGCTGTTAGTGTGCAGGCTGGCTGTTTGCCTGGGCTGTTGCAACAAGAGAAGTTTAGACACACACACACACACAATCCCTCCCGCTTCGAGGCACCCTGACCATTATTCAACGGCTGCGTCCGCCCTGCACAGGAAACCCGGTTCTGCCCACAAGCCGGAACGGACTGCCTGGCCGTCCAGAGGTGACGCGAGTGTCGAGGCAGGCCCCCTGCTAAAGCTTGCAAGCCCACCTTTCCTGGATGGCATGGGAGGAGGTTGGGAGTTCGATTTCTGCCTCCTCTGCGAGTAGAGCCAGCCTGGGTAGCCTTGGGCAAGAAGGGAACGGTCTGCCACTTTGGAGTATTCTCTGCTGAGAAAACCCCCGGAAAGGATGGCCATAAAACCAAATGAGCTGGCTGGATAACTCGCTGGCTGCAGAGCCGGAGGTTGGGAGTTCGAATTCCCGCTCTGCCTCCAGGGAGCAGAACCAGCCTGGGGGGCCTTGGGCCAGCTGCACACAGTCCCAAGGCTGCCCCCTAGTGGATAAGATGCTGGAATTGCAGGCATCGGGAAGGAAGGAAGGAAGGA